GGCCTTAAAACATGTACATTTTAAAAATCTATTCAAATTTTTTATTGACCATGTAATTACACGTGAACTGCTAGACTAATTCCGATAATTCTTTGCTATGTGTTTAACTCGTGAATATTTCTTATAATATAAGATAATTTTAAAAATTTAATTGTAATTGAAAGTTATTATTAAGAAGCCGTTTTGATGCAGTAAAACAAAAATGTCCGAGCTAATAGTAAAATACTCAGGTCAAGCAGAGTACTAACGTAGCTATTGCATATTCAATTATTTCACTCTGCAATCCTGCGACAAGGTACCTCAGTGAAAGAAAACTACAAACTTATAATAAAGAAGCCATTAGCCTAATAAAAATTTCATGTTTGTTTCAGATTTCACAATGATTACGTTGGCGATTTTTGTGACGCTATCACTATTTTCATTGGATCAGGTAAGTGGCAAAATGTAATAAAGACTTTCCAAGTAGATACTGTCATAGGATAGTATTCTTATCTCATCGATCTAGTGATTAGAGACTCCGTTGCACTCGACGTTCTTGTTTAGAATTCTAGACTAGCCAATTTTGTTAAAAGAACCTGCGTAATATTATGTTAGGATTCTTTAAACTTATAACCAGATGATAGCATAAAATTGTTACAACTATCGTTTTATAAGGAGGCGTTTTTATATTAAAACAATTTTTGAAAGCTCGTGAGACATGCGTTAGTAAATTATTGAGAATGACGACTTCCTCACGTTAATGAACTGCGAAAAGCTCTACTAGTTTCAAGTTATTACGGGACTCTTATTCATGAGCAGTGTTTGGCTACAGTTAGCTCTGCTTTTACCTGCGACTTTGCTACCTTCATTAGACAATATACTACTTACGCTCCCTACTCTACCTAGTCTACCCTATCTTATGTTCTTCTTCTGGATCTAAACTACAACATCCTTACAAATTATGAGCAAAATCGGATCAGCCATTCTTGAGTTATAAGTTAATAGACTTACTAACACGACCATCTTTTATACTTACAAATAGATTTATTAGTACAGTAAAAATGTTATACAACATGATCAGATCTGAATGTAAATTTTACAGTGATTAATACGCACAAATAACCTAGCCCACAACAACATTTCTTAAACTAAACATCGATCTAAATTGGCAGTTATTTCGCCACCAATCTTGTCTTCGATATAGGCAACAAATGAAGCGGCAGAACTGTTGAATAATTCACAGCCGGAGATGTCACTTTCATTATGTATCACCAAGTCACATGTCGCACTCATTGTTGTAACATTTCACTTTTACTTTTTATATGGTATAGGTCGATTTACCTGATGGTAAGCTATCGGTACCGCTCGTGGACACCCGCAACATCAAAGGAGTAACGAGTGCGTTGCCGGCCTTTTTGGGATAAGGATTGCGGATACTTAAGGATTGGGAAGCGATAGGTAGGGGGAGGAATTGAGCCTCCGGTAACCTCACTCACACGGCGAAACACAAAGCTGTGGTTATTTCACGCCGGTTTTCTGTGAGGCCGTGGTATCACTCCGGTCAAGCCGACCCTTTCGTGCCGAAGCATGGCTCTCCCATACATGAACACATTTGTTTTTATAAGACGTTTAACTTATTTTTTGTTTCATTAGAGCTTTTTTTTTGGATGTTGAATAATTATTACTTCTTTACTAGTCAAAATCAACACTTTTCTTATTATATAATACTATTATGAATTGTTGAAAACAACGACGACAGACAATCTGCTATGAATGTATGAGAATGTCTGTACGATATACTTATAAAATAACTAATTACATTCATTACAGATTACAAAGGCCTCTTTTTCCATGGATATGGTTTGAGCACTAATCGCCACACTCACTCAAGGCGAATTGGCGATTTAAATTTATAATTTCTAGTTTACACTCGATGTTTTTCCTTCAGCATATTTATTATCCACTTATTATGTCAGCACGTAATATCTAAGTTATTATAGATTTTTTTTGTTCTCCACAGGTGGAGTCAGCGAAACAACAAGTCCAGCTATCAGACTCCTATCTCCCAGTCGCAATGCAAATTATATCTCACATCACAGATCAGATGGCGTTCGAAGTAAAAGAGGACAATACGCCTAAGCCTACCTCCAAGCCTACGCCTAGGCCTACGACTAAGCCTACGCCTAGGCCGACCACTAGGCCTACGACCTCGAGACCGTATGTGACCTACAAGCCTACTAATAGCTGGTGGTCGGGGTTTACCACAAAGAGGTTACTTTTGGCTTTGTATATATACTGCATTTTAACAGATTTTTTTTCAGATTTCTGCCTGGATGGTTTGCATAGGTTGGATTAATAATAGTAACATCTCACTGAAAGCTGTAAATACTTTTAAGGATGATTTAAAAATAATAATTTTGGTGGTCTTTGAATTGTGCAACGGGATATGATGCACATATTATTAAAAAAAATAAAAAAAATATTTTATCGGAATATAGAAATCACCAAAAACTTGCACAACACTATAACATATTGAGAAATAAAATATACATACAAGATTATACTGATTTTTGAAGGACTTAAAATGAAAATGAGAGCACAGACTTAAATAAATATTTAAATAAGAAATGTTTACAATTTTAGTACCACGAGTTATATGGAATAAGTAAAATCCTTAGTTCTATTTCTATTTATGTTTGTCCAAATTAATTTTAATTTTGGTGTTACTGGGTCGCATATTTTTATACCGCACGTAATTTTAATACGTTTGAGATTCTAGGATAAATATGTTTTTTTACACTACATTGTAATGAGCACATATTATATTTAATTGGCCCACTGAAATCCCTAGTTTAGGCCTAAATTTAGTTTAGGATAGCCATGTTTAGTCGCGAAAGGCCCGACTCGACCGGAGTGATACCACCTCCTCAGAGAAAACCAGCGTGATACTGCTTGCATTATGTTTCGCTGTGTGAGTTACTGAAAGACCGATATGATTAACTTGTTTTGATTAATGACAAATTTAATAAGATTGAACCCATTTTCTTTTTCCATTTTGTGTGGTCGTGGTGGCCCGGAGGTTAATGAGGGCGTGGGTTCGAAACCTGGCAAGTACCAATATGACTTTTTCCGAGTTATATGTACTTTCTATGATTATTTAGACACCACTGACATACGGTGAAGGTAAACATCGTGAGGAAACCTGGACTTATAATTTCTAATTATAAGTTTGAAATCGCCAACCCGCATTGAGCAAGCGTGGTGATTAATGCTCTAACCTTCTCCGTATGATAAGAGGCCTTTGCTCAGCAGTGGGCACTTATAGGCTGATGATGATGAGCCCATTTTCATCGTGCTATTAGATAATATCTGCCTGACTACCTTAGGAACGATTATATTCCGAAAATAAGTTCTTAATATTGAGTTCATCATTTATTTAGTCACTAGCTTCCACCTGCGGCTTCGCCTGCGTAGTGTGTTAATAAAAAGCAGCTAATATCGTATTCCGGAGTGTATCATATGCAGACGAGCATACGTCCAAAAACATCCAGATACGTCCAGCAGTTTTGGCGTGATTGAGTAACAAACATCCAAACATCGTAACTTTCGCATTTATAATATTAGTAAGATGGCTGATGGATACTAAAATACCTAATAATTTTTTGGGGGGCCGAAAAATAAAATAGTCAGGATGCCAAAAACAAATCACTAAATACATTTTCTCTGCAATTCCTTACGGTGTTCTACTTTTTAAATTCACATCGCGTATGGCAAAGGTAACGGCTCAGAATACAGAACAAACCAGAAGGCGTCATCGCGCATCAAACTAAAGCAACTAAAACCATTCTCAACTAGAATAGTATGAAATTCCTACGATTAGTCAATTTTGGCACGTGGCATGTCGTGACGTATTTACGAGTATCAATTTTAATTTCATTATGCCGTCTTGTGTTATTACTACGAGTAAAAATGCGACTGGAATTACGAAAAAAGTAGATAAGAATACATTTCATCTGCAAGCATCGACTGCAATAGTATATTTAATTAATTATTGATTTTTTTTTATCGATTTATTTTTCTATGAAAATGATGCGGCCATTTTGTGAGTGTTGTCATTTTTGGTGAAAATTTTACCCACTTATTTATTTGTTGTGGGTTGTATTTTTTTCCATTATGGAGCCTATGTCATATTAGTTTCCCTGACAAAAAAATAAATACAAATCATACAAAGGGCACGGTTAGATTAATTTTGGAAACCATCTAGCCAAAGCATAGTTTGCTCAATTCACTTTGAAGAGATATATTTATGACAAAGGTGGTTCGAAAACAGCATATCCTACTAAGATATATCTATACTAATTATAATGCTAAAGAGTTTGTTTGTTTGTTTGCTAGAATGCGCTAATCTCAGGAACTAAGTAAAGTAAGTAGACTTCTAATCTTTAGTTCCGAGTCTAAAGACAATACATATAAAAAACTAAACCAGCAAAAAGGAACGCAATAAAACCTTTGTACTTATTGAAGCTTTATTTTATTTGTTGTGTATAGTAGGTGTAGCTAAAATTAACAAATCCAGAAATCGACAACTTTTATGATACCTCTATGAAATGTGTGAACAACTAGTCTGTTGCATTTATCGTAAGTTTACCTATTTTGTTGGGTTTACTCGTATCTTACTCTCCTGTTGTAAAATTACCCCAATCCAAGGGAATTGTTCCACTGTCGGCAACACTACGCGGGTGGGAAGTGCAGCTGGCGGGGGGATTGACGTATTGTTTTTGGACACATTTGACGACATGTAATTATGAGTGAACGCGGCTTCTGGTTTATTCTGTATTCTGAGGGTAACGGTTAGATCGGGTCTCTGCCAAGTGGACCGTGACGTCATCGCTCTTCAAACAACTAAACAAACTCGTCCATTGAAATTATCATAAAATATATGTCTTTACAATTCTAGCATTCATTTTGTACTGAGAGAGAAAGTGTATGTTTATATACGTCTGTATTCTGCGGGTGGTAAGGTTGATTTTAATTGCTGTACATATTTTACCTTTTAACATAGTTTTAAGTTTTTGTAAATATTTCTCTTAATTCAATTTTGAGCACTAATGGTTTGGTAAATTTCGATTTCTGTAAATATTATTTTCCACTTACTTTTGTAAGAACAAGATACCAAGTTTGTTTTAGACACATTTTATCAGAAAGCACACCTAAAATATCATCATAAACATGTACCAAAATCACCTCCTATAATAACCTCATTAACCACATAAATCTCACTAATAAGCAAAAAAATATTTCCAGGACAGAAATGACGACGCCATTCCACAGACCAGGTCTATACGCTCCACCGTCTCCTCCGAAACCCTACAGCAGATTCTCCTGGCATCCACAGCAGCACCGCTTCGTCCTGCTACCAGTAGAACACCAAGCCCAGTACACAATCCTCCAACCCCAAGAGAAGAGAACAGAAGAACCTCTTCTGGCCATCCATGAGGATCAGATCAAGCCTTTAGTGGAACCAAGCCCTGAAGCTGCACCATACCTTCCACCTCATTATGACGTCAAAGTCTCCAGCCGTTCTGATGGCTACCTTATTGATGATATCAGTGAAGAAAGTCTTCAATACTTGTCCGATGATGTAAGGGAGATGATAAAGATGGCCAAGGATCCTCATGATGATAAAGTGGTGGATGTGTGGGATGGAGTAAGGCAGGGGAACCACCCTGTGACTACGAAGGCCAAGCTGTCGGCTTCAAATTTGAGATTGTTGCTGCTGTATGATCTGCTGAGCAGGGACGCTAAGAGGCAGAGGCTGTCAGATTATAGTGTGAGTACTTTATTTTGTATTTTTATATTTTAATAAATTTCTTGAAATGGCGGATTAGCAAGAATAATGTAGGAGAACTAGGTGCTGCTAAAATTTCAGTACAGTCATTGCAGCTTCTATCATGACAAGTAAGGCAAATGATGTAGTAGAAACCACATAATTTTCTTCGACCATGGGCAAATTTATAATACTTCTTACTGAACCAATTTAACTTAAAGACTGTTCACTTGTAGTTCGTCATGCATGTACCATGCATCCGTCCGACTGTCGCATGCGTTTATCGTCACATGGGATGGAACACACGGTGGGACACGAAAGTTTTAGTTTTTGAAGAAAAAAAAAACTATAATCTTGGACCTGATTTTTTTTAAAGAAATTTTGGTATGCAATTAAGTTTACATAAATATACAGGCTTATAGATTTTTTATCATTTCTGAAAATTCTATTTCCGTCATTTAGCTCAATCCCCCTCCGATCTTAAGTAGCTCGTCAAAATATCTGAGGCTTGCATTTGACGGGCACGTCTTACACAGTCGGCGTCCATGACAGTTGTGACAATTTCAAGGAGGGTTTATGTAATTGAGGGTAGTATTATATTTCGTCGCCATGTCAATGTCTTTATCACCAGGAAATGCCATTCTCGTTTCATTTTTCATCTTTATTCGTTTAGTGTTAAAGTTTATTTTACTTTTTGGTTCTTCTTAAACCTTCAACTTGGTAAAACAGGGAATCGCTTTATGCAATAAACGCAAGTTTGTTCGTTTCAATACACACTAAATTCGAAAGTCAGGGTAATTTTGAAACATGAAATAGTATATAGACAGATTCGAATGGAGAAGAACGAGCAAGAAAGTACATTGTTACTTTAAAAAAATATATAAGCTTACCATTACAATAATTTGTGATTTGGGATATTTAGGGATTGGGGAGGGATTTGGGGAGGGTAGGATTGTGCCTCCGGTAACCTCACTCACACGGCGAAACACAAAGCTGTGGTTGTTTTACGCCGGTGTTCTTTGGGGCTGTGGTATGACTCCGATGGAGCCGACCCATTCGTGCCGAAGCATGACTCTCCCACACATGAAAACCTGCTTGAAATAAAAATAATAGGTAATGAAAAAAAATCTTTGCAATTAATTGTAACAGGTCAAACATCTAGACCGGTGAGACAGATAATTCTACGACCTTCATAAAAACACGATTAATTACATATTTTTAACTAACTTGTAAAAAAAAAACATAATTATAACAACAGATTTGAAAAGAAATAATGCAAAATAAATGCCAACGACTTCGCTAACTAATACCATTTTTCAAAAAACTTTAATTCTTTTGTTTATTTTTTTTTTGTTCAAAACTTTAACGAAATCTTAATTGATCTGAATAAAATTAGCTACGTTTTGGGGTTATAGTATAAATATATTTTGAAAATGAACTTGAAACAAAAGATTTTTAAGCATCACTCTGTTTTATTCATATGGCATTTTTGGCATAATGTTCTGAAAATTTATAAAATATGATACAAATAAAAAAAATCGTTTAAGCTAAAATACGACGATATATCACTGAGACAAAGGAATAGGCAAATAACGACTATATAAGTCACGTGACTTAACAGAGAATAGCTCGACTAGTTTCAGAAGCAACGGGACTCACGAGCAGCGAGCGATTCGCAGCGACATCGCGCAGCCGAATGATCACATGTTTAAGTGTGGGAGAGCCATGCTTCGGCACGAATGGGCCAGCTCGACCAGAGTGAAACCACGGCCTCACAGAAAACCGGCGTGAAACAACCACAGCACTGTGTTCCGCCGAGTGAGTGAGGTTACCGGAAGCCGAATCGTTCCCCTGCCCCAATCCCTAAATCTCCAAATCTATAATCCCCAAAAGGTCGACAACGCAATCGTAACTCCTCTGTTGCTATCAGGTAATCCGTTTACTCGTTTACCGACCGATTACATAAAAAAATGTGCCTTTTGTCTTTGTTTTTGTAGGAGTATATCAGGAAATGATTTCTCCCGCCCTGAGTAAATGCAGAAAAAGTGTCACACTTACTGAAAAACACCACCTAGTTCCTTCTTAGTCGGGGTTGCGGGGTAAGCGCAATATGGCACCGCGGCCTCGGCCCAAAACAGGAGAAGGAACGGGGGTTTTTTAGAGTATGACATTCTCTCTTGCCTCACCCTGGGCGGGAGAAGTCATTTGATGAGTTTCCCCTGACAAAAATCTTTCAGGGTCAGGAGGCAAGGTAATTATAGCATATGCACTCAAAACCCTGGCTGAAACCATATTTATTAGCGCACAAAAAGAGAATTGGTTAACAATTAAAATTGGGGCAAAACCATTGATTAGTTTGTTTATAAAACCTTTGAAAACAACAATAAGTCAGTAATTTAGCCCACAGCTCATAAAGTATCAAATTAAGTAAACCAATCGCGGTCATAATTCCGACCGTTTATTTCTGTTATTTATTAGTTCGACCATTATGCTAATCCTCATGTTCGATGTCGACCTACTCCAAATGGAATCAAGTTATGTTGGTATTGTTTTGTAGATTTACTCGTTTGAAATCGTAACCTAGTCATACTTAATTAGATTACTTAATGAAATCTCTATAATACGAACATTTAAAGTGTGGGAGAGCCATGCTTCGGCACGAATGGGTCGGCTCGACCGGAGTGATACCACGGCCTCACAGAATACCGGCGTTGTGTTTCGCCGTGTGAGTGAGGTTACCGGAGGCCCAATCCCTCCCCTTCCCCTATCCCTTCGCGATCCTTATAACCACAACCCCTATCCCCAAAAGGCCGGCAACGCACTCGTAACTGTTTTGGTGTTGCGGGTGTCCATGGGCGGCGCCGATTGCTTACCATCAGGTAATCCGTAAGCTCGTTTGCCGACATATGACTTAAAAAAAACATATTTTTTCATTGTAACTGGTAGATTGAAAGAGAAAAGAAGAGTCCTTTTCTAAGCAATAGGCACTTACAGGCTTGTGATAATTGTGTGTAATACAAAACAAAGGTTAAAATAAATCTAGCCAGTTTAATACACCTAAAAATTATTATAAGTATAGGTAACACAAACATTAGCTGATGACATAAATAATTACACGTCATGATAAAACGTCTTTTTAATTGTAAATCTGTGTTAATGATAACTACATTTAAATTTCAATTAACTTCATCGGCGTCGGATAATCCTGATGATTAAACTTGGAACATAAATAGCTAACAAATATTAAACGAGAACGGCTCGTAAGATTTTTGGTGAATAGCATTTGTTTAAATTGTTTTTTAATCAAAATTTTTAATCGCCATAGGACCCATATTAGAATAACGGCTGATTTTTAATTTTCAGATCAATCAATTCAATAGTCAGATAAATGTTATCTGGGGAATAAAATTGTTGCTGTCATTGTCGTAAAAATCAGCCCTACGAATAATAATTTGGCATGAAAATTTAACAATCGATAATAAATTAATTTCAGAATAAAAACTTGACTTTAATTTTCTGTTATTATCATTTTTAGGAACAATAAATCAAATATAGATATCATCAACTTTTAAAAATGCTATAAAGTAGGATCGTAGGGAGCCAATACCACCATTTTAAATATATTTAAGTAAATCGAATAATTTTCAGTTGATATAATTATAGTAAAATGTCTACAAAGAGAATTTTCTCTGTCTACTCAATAACATAAAATCTAATATTTGAACGGAGCTGATTGTAAGACCCAGGCGTTGGAAAATATCTCATTTGTGCAATTCCTTCATTCTCTCAGAATGTATGGAATTGTCTGATAGAATGGCGTGTTTCCATTAATTATAGTTATGACTGCCACGTTGACTCAGCAAGGAGTTTTAGGTGTCAAAAAATAATGATCAATTTGATATTGTCCTATCAAAAATTTTAAGACAACACTTTATATATGTATGTTAGGAATAAACACAACTCATTATTAATAAGATAAAACACAACGTTATTGTTGTTTCACGCCGATATTCTGTAAGGCCGTGGTATTACTCTACATGTAGTGGCCCATTGGTGCCGAACCATGGGTCTTCCACACTTAGAATTGAAATCAAATAATTAACGAATGCAAAATGACCCATGTAAGTAGTAAACAATATATTTCACAAAAAAAAACCGACCTTGTAGATATCCAAATAAAGCATAAAAACCCAATAATAATATCATTGATGCCCTAAATTCCTTACAAAACAAGACAGTCTTTTACTTTGGTATAGTCTGAACACTTTATGGGCCTTTACGAGGTCTTAAATTGTGTTACCACACACTGACCTCCTGGATGTCTTTACATCATCATAAATAACAGGGTTTAGAGCTTGTTTGGAGACGACTAAGGTTGTATTAGAAGGTTCACTAGCTGGTTGGATGGTCTTTTCGTCATCATCATCATCATCATTAACTGGAAGACTAGCCTAGACAAAGGTTATTCCGAGAGTACGGTGCATAGTTTGCCGCGCGCGTCTCAAAGACCTCAATAGACCACTACAGATGCGATCCAACAAGGCTAACGTTCGGCCAGGGTTGCGGAGCAAGTGCAAAAATGAACCGCGGCCTTGACCTGACGCAGGAGGAGGAACGAGGTTTTAGTCAGTAAAAGTTTGACACACCTGACATTCTCTCTCGCCTCATCTTAAGCAAGAGAAGCAAGAAAGAAGATTTTACTGTTTCTATGGTTCGCAGTCAGGATATTTGAGATTCGCAATTGCTCAGGTGTGGGTCCCCGAACATTTAAAAAATCTTACTGCACGTCTATAAGGACAACTTTGTGCTCTTCTTTGTGATGTTGTGCAGTTTTCATTTTCACTTCTTCTTTCACCTCTTCAGATGTTGTTGTTGTGTAAAGGCTGATTGCTTATCATCAGGACTGCTCGCTTACTGCCTTATCCCATAAAAAACTAGGCTTATCCTTATAAATTGGATACATGTTATAAATTCGTTCACAGCAACCAAATTCTTTACACAACAACTTAATAATATCAATTGGTGTGCTGTGTCATGTTTTCCCTGGCATTAAGATCTTGTCATTCAAATAAGTCTTTAAACATATTTACGAACATCCCACCCTGTTATGGTGCTGATAAAGTCGTTTATTCATTGAGTATTATTCTGAAATATGTTACTTTTTATGTCGATTTTATAGCGTAATCTTTGCCCTTGTACAGATCAGTTATTAAATTTTTATTTTCCCAAAAGTGAGGCATAAATTTTGAATCGCTTCACGAATTTTTTTTTTACAATTTGTGTATGGTGTCTTTCAATGCGACATTAATCCATTTTCTGAAGAGTTCAGTGCATTCACTTTTTATGTATTACGTCTTTGATATGTATGTATTTTGTTTTTATGGAACGAATCCGCCAAAATCTCCAAAAACACTGCAACTCCTGTAAACCAGGATCTTTAGTAGATACAACCATGAAATCACCGAAAAACTGAAATCCATCGCGTCACACGGACATTAAGAACTGTGTCAGATCCCGTAAAGAAATAAATTAAAAGAAATTATTTGAGTAAAAAAAAAACTAAAAAGACTTCTCAGTAAATTTAATAAAAGAGACAGAACGATTTAAGCCTTAAAAGCAAAAAAACTGACTGTACAACGTGTTTTTTTCAATTTGTTCTTCAATTTGGTGATCCGGATTTGGTTGGGTCCAATCTTCAGAGTCATCGGACATCCCGGCGTACGGCAAATATCCACCCTCACTTTGTTGAGACACCTGCGGCCCGAACTAAGCGTTTTGCCTCATCATTTATACCGCGTACATCGAGGGACTGGAACAGTTTGCCGGCTGCAGTCTTTCCGTCCAAATATAATTTAGGTGTCTTCAAGGCTAGAGTGAATAGACTCTTAATCAACGATTACCATCAACGATTGCATCACTGCTTACCATCAGGTGGGATCGCAGTCAAGCACTAGTTTATAGCAAGTAAAAAAAAAAAAAAAACTTTAATATTATTTGTCCAATAAAACTGTATGTATGGCGCTGTGGCCTACCCACAATTGGTTAGTGTAAAACGCGTAACCGCAAAGGCCCTTTGTGTAATCCTCAAATTATTTATAATTGATCCGATCTGAGTGTAATGTAAATCCAGATAGAGATGCAACAAAGAAATGAATAATTGTAAAACTGATTAAAAAAGAGTAACCATGGAGTTTCTTGCTCGTTCTTCTCCATAGGAATCTACACTTTGGAACGAGCGAATAGCTTCACTAGAGGACAGACGGACAAACACTGACACGCATGAAGTTAAACCTCTTTACTTAAATATTGTTTCTTTTTTTTTTGCTTAACGTTTAAAAGTGCCTAATGTGGTCTAATTGAAATAAATTATTTTTGTTTTTGACTTTGAATTTTAGATCAGGGTGTGATGTATTGTATCTCTTTCTCTTTGATGACACCTTGTTTAGAAATACGCATTATTTATTTTTAAAAAGTAATATAATCGTAATTAAATATTATTATTTTCTAAAATATGTATCTTATTCTCTTTTCCAGGGTTTCTCCCCAGACGTGATGAAGGCTCTCGTGGCGTCATCTAGCGGCGGCGTGCGTGAACAGCTCAAGATGGCGCTTTCCAAGATGGTGGAGCGCCACGACTGTGGGCATGAGTACGCCAACAACAGGGCCAGGGAAATGGTAGAGGAACTGGGAAAAGATGAATCAGGAATGTCCACTGATCTGCGGTATTTGCAACCTTTAGTGTATAGCTATTAGGTTTGAAATGGGATGTGATGGTCTTTCATTGTTGGATTAGTGAAGACAATGTTGGCTAAATATAGAAAGCAGAATTTAAAAAAAAAACAATTTACATTGACGTGACGATTTAAATTGACACGAACTAAGCCGATCGCTCGAGGCCTCGAGCCGATCATGCCTCTCTCTCTTCTGTATTGCGCTCTCGCTTGCGGAACGCGACAATTAGCGTAACGGGACAATGACGTCATCTTTTCACATAGTATCGAGTTATAAGACGTTGTCACGTTAAAGCAATACTTAATTTTTGGTAACTCAAAATTGAAACAAATAATTAAGAAGACAATAAGTAACATCCTTGTTTTAGAAGACGGCCATTATTAGAGAATCATTGTAATGAATATATGGTTAATAATATATTCGTATCAAAGCAACAAAATATTTAAAAAAAAACCTAATAATAGATGGAAGAAGAGCTTAATAGAGAAATAGATGTGGAAGGTGATCCATCAGTAAAAATGTATTCGATGCAAGGAGAAAATCATACCTAATTCAATCGATAACATTTTAGCAACTGTGCCTACCTACTTATTAAATTGTATATTATGCCACACTAATTGCTTCACTAATTTAACAACAACAGACATCAGAAATTCCCATGACACATAACCTTGACAAAATGACGTCAGGACGTTTGGACACTTTATGTAAACAAAACGAGTTGAATAGAAGATAACCTCAAAACTGAAAATGGTGCATTTATATTTATAACAAAGTATTTATCATAGATTTAACTATCTTATACTCTAACTCTACTGTTCATAAAACATAATAATCCTGTTTTTTTTTGTGAAGAGAGACTAGTTTTAAGTTACAAAGTCGTAAGAGTCCCATAATGACTTGAAACTTGTCGATACGTCTCGTGAATAGTCCGTTATATTCAATTTAAATAAAATAAATTGTAAATTAATTTTAGGTTTAAAAATTGCTCCTAAACAAAATAAAAAGATATTTGATTATGTATTCTTCTAAATTATTATTATGATTTTGATCACTTAGGAGATGATAACATAATGTAACACACACTGCCAGGAATCAATCAAAATAACATTGGCAACAATACTATTTACCCAAAATAGGATTATTAATTATTTATGAGTGTTACAATACAATAAAACTTTACTGTACTTACGTGATAAAAATATAATTAAGATCAATGAATTTAAATAAATACATAGTATAGGTATAGGTAAAATACGCATTTAATAAAAAAATAATTGTTATTCGTACTTAAGCTTATTAAATATGAAATTACTTATATAAAATTTTCTTTAATATCTTTTATAAATTCCAAGAAATACTCGATTGAATTAGAATAAGAGAAATAAGATGAAAGCCTGTGTTAATAAGTTCAAGAAAAACAAATACAATACAAGATGATATTCGTATACCTTACATATAGTAAGAATAAAAATGACAATATAATTATTTAGTACATAATATTACCAAATAAAAATATGATAAATTAAATTTAATGTAGTTTTATTAACACCACTTCGTTTATACCCCTTTTTATGTTATAGGACAGCAAACGAGCAGACGGATTACCTGGTGGTAAGCAATCGGCGCCACCCATGGACAGAATAACACCGGAAGAGTTACAAGTGCACAGCTGATCTTTTGGGGATTAGGAATTTGGATATTTTGGGATTGGGGAGGGATTGAGGGAGGGGGGACGGGAAGGATTGGACATAACGTAGTGGTTGTTTCACGCCGCTTTTCTGTAAAGCCATAGTATAATTACTGTAAGGTGCTATAACAATTTCTGATTATAAGTTTGAAATCGCCAATTTTCTTTGAGCAAGCCTTGTAATTTATGCTCAAATCTTCTCCGTGTGAGAAGAGGCCTTTGCTTCGCGGTAAGACGGAAATGTCTGATTATACGAAGAATATCATAACAAGGGATGGAGTTAGAGGTACTGCCAAAAGTAGCATAGCACCTTTCGAATGCTAGATAATCTTAAAATATACAAAGCAGAGTATTTAGCCTACTATCGCTACAACCAAAGTAGAGTTCGAACTGATAATGCCAAAAAGAAGAAAGAAATTTGATGCAGCATTCATTGCAAAAAGACTTGGCTCTATAACAACTAAACTAACATTTAACAACCTAACATAAACAATCACTTTAAAACCCTAATCCAAAAGCAATATGATAGAAAAACCAATTTCAATTTCCAGTTTTATAAACCGAACCAATCAAAACAGAATCAATTATTCCGCCTCCTGACAATAATGGAAATGTCAACAATAAAACAAAAACAACGCGACGATGATCTGACCCGAAAAATACCAATCAACAAATACGAATTAGATGAGAAGAAAAAAAAATGATTAAAATGAATCTGGTTTCCATCGGGCCTGCGGGCCTTGATTCGTAAATCCAATTACTGTAAGCCAAATCAATCGAGAGTTTATGCGATTAAAATTAATAGGTTTCTTTTTGTGGCCAAGTTGTTTGAGAATGGACGAACTTGTGGCCTGTATAGGGAACCTGATAGGAGGCTATCAAACTTTTTCTTATAAATAACCTAAAAATGGCTAACGCATTCACCCTATGTGGACTTCTGTTTGGACTGTGTTCGCGTGTGAGAATAGAAGAATGGAGTTTCGAATTCGAATTTTCAATTTGGAACGTGCATTTAACGTTAACTGACGTATTGACTATTATTCAATTTAGAAATTTAAAAATAGTATTAAACATATTCGAAATTTGAGTTTTGACAATATAATTTAAATTAAAATAGTCTTAGTGTTCTTTTATAAACCGCCTAAAATTGGGTAACGCATAAATCACAGACCTTTTGTATGTAGGTTTACTTTCCAGCGTTTTTTTTTTTAGTGGATTTCTATTTTTCGTCAACACCGATTATAATTTTGTATCTTTAGGTAGGTATATTGTAAATAAGTTTTCAGTTTCTTATAAGCGTGATAACAGACTGACACTTTTTATCTTTAAGCTTTGTTTAATGTTCAAAAGGGCCTGTAACGGTCTGATTAAAATAAATGATTTTACCTTTTTGACTTCCCTAACATTCTTTTTCTATAGATAGAGCCTGGCGTCAAACAGTTGTTTTTGACTTAAATCACTTTAACGTAAACTAGAGCAGGACAAATAAATTTACATTTAATGAAAACTTAAATAAATATGGCAAGTGAAATACTGTTTGAAATTAATATTCGTCTTTATACCTCACAGGTGTCACCTCAGACGGAGGTCATCCAATAAATCATTCGATTTAAACGCAATTAGAAAATCAAAATTCTTGGAAAACTATAACTGAGATCTTAACATCTGATGTTTCACCACTTAATTATAAGAATTAATCCATTTTGAGATAGGAGAATGAAGGGATCAAGGACTTTTAAATTCGTTGGATACAATAATATTTCATTTCATATTAAATTCAGAGAATTTTAATGAGTTTAATTAAAAATTATTGCAACGCCTGCCTGCTATTTAAACTTATTATAACTTAAATTATTACATTATTTGTACCTATCTCCATAGTAGGTAAATCGTTTGGGACCTCAGGACCTACAGTTTTTTTTAGTTTTGGATCGAAAGACCAATCTTAATGTATCGGAAGCCTAATCCTTTCTCTCCCCAGAGACGTAACCGCAACGTATACGTAACTCCTAAGCTGTTGGGGGTATTCATGGACAGCGCCGGCTGCTTACCATCAGGTTGCGTGCTACTCGCTGCCCAGCTGAAAAAAAATCTAGAGATCGCAATAAATCTATTCACAACCATGTATTTGATTGAAATATTGGGGATAAGTAAGCCTTTGGTTATCATTTTGGTTAATTTAGATGGGTACAATAGTCGAATCCAGTTTTGTTTTCACCTAGAACAAATTAAAAAAAATCGAAATAAAAATATAAGTACATTATATTAAATTCTCGCTACCTTTTCAAGTATCGTCATTAAGTAAAATCATATTTACCGCACGCAACGTCAATTTATAATAATGTGTAAACGCCTGTGAAAAAGGGCACGGCAACAAGCGGCTCTCCGTTGTGTTTGCCATGTGACATTTTGTGGTCTCTGCATATTCATGAGGCGTATTCCTGGCTTGATTCGAACACGTGTAACTAGGAAGTGTGTACTCATAGTACTGCTTACTGAATTGGTAATAGACTTCCGATGGTTCGTTATGTAGTGACAATAGAGCCAATACCACTCCTCTTTCACTGGGTCTACGGTTAAAGAAAAAACCTTTGACAGAAACCAGGCAAAAGCAATTTCTGACAAATCGATCAACCCGTCTGTCAGTTGTCTAGTTTCCTATGTCAATAATAAGTAAATTCGACAATCCAATAAAAAAATATATTGGAAAATAACTATACGATCTGTCACATCTGCACAAATTTTAGCAAATTTTTATGAAATTATAGACGTAAACATTAATATGACATCATCATTTGCAGTTTCATATAAATTTCATAGGAAGGTCTCAGAATACAGAACAAACAGGAAGGTATAGTTTTTGACATTAAATTTGACTAGACTCTAATTCTAAGCTTTAGTGGCCATAGCTCGTAAGTCTAACAGTAAACTGCCATTTGGTGTCTATATAACATGCAACAATGCAATATAACATGCAATCAATTAAATTGGTAAACAAACTGCATCGAATTGTTTAAAATATTTCTTTTACTGTTGGGTTTAGATTTCGGATCAAAAGACCAATATAAATAGACTAGCATTAACTGACAAAATGGTAGGTGAGTCATACCTACGTATTTGTAGTTTAAGATACAACTATTAGAAGATATTTTTTCCCAAATAAATATAGACTTTCTTCGACAAATTTCATTTATTTAGCATATTTCTAAGTATAATACAAAACGCTCTTATAATTACAGATATGTTTCAATCAATAAAATATAAATAAAAAACTTAATTTGGACATCACGTCACTGAATGGCACCTTTCGATTCGGTATTAGGGTAACTACATTTATTTACAAAGCAAAAAAGAACAATAAAAACACACACAATTGTCTCATAATTTTGCATATTTTCATAGTAATCTTTAATGTGTTATAAGTTAAGTATCATTATGGGTGCAGACAGCAATGTTCATGCTTTCGGAATATTTTTGAAGTGACGGTGTGTCGAGTAGGTATACATTTATACATTAAAATTTAAGTACATACATATCAAGGCCAAAAAAAAGGTACTCCAAACCATTTTTTTACCATCAAAAATAATTGTTAATAATCGGAAAATACTCAGCACCATAGCACTAGAGAACGGACTATAAAATTCGTTGTATTAAATGAAGTATTGTAAAACCACCATAATCAACTTTGGACACAGAAATAAAATGGAAGAGAAGAATTTTTAAATATTTTCGTTTCAAAATTAGATTCAGTACTTATTTAATTCAATAATTATTTGCAGAAAATCTTTAACACAATGATATGATGTATGCAGATCCAGTTTAAAAATATGTTGATGAAAAATCACTAGCCATCCTGATTTGAATGATTTTGGACATTATAAACTATTAAAATACATTAAATTAAACCCCTTTACTTGCTGAACTTGACGATCCTGGTCGAAACAATGCCATCAAACCTCCCCATAATAACTGAATAATACTTCCTAATACTTCTAGCATGTAAACAAATGGTCCTTCTTTAGGTTTTGCTACTTCTGCATCATTATCCCAGCCGAATCCGTCATCATCATCATTCCACGTATCATTCTTAGCTTCAATCTGAGCCTCACTTCGAGGGGATGCACTGACTTTGGCGAGAACTGGCAGATAGTTTGAGTATAGAGTGATTTTCTCTGGCTTTTTTTCGGCTTTTGGAGGCAAAGCGTCGAGAGACACTTCTTCCACATCCCTCTCTTTCGCAATGTCGTTGTCAATCGGCTTCACATCTTGTTTGTTTAGATCCTCTTCTTGTAGTTCAATCTTGCCCCAGGATTTATCGGATGGTGTTGTTGGCTCCGATTTTGGACTCCCATCACTCTTTGACACGTTCAGACCGAGAAATCTGGAATAACAGATGAATAGACTTTTTTAAACGAGTTCTTAATGATTTTAGTTGTGTATTAAATATTTAGAGAATCAATGAAATATATTTACGATTTCTAGATGAAAGAATAAAATAAAATATTATCTAATATAAAAATTGTTGGAAAGATTTATTACGTTTCAAGAGTTTGGTCCTTCGAGACAGAACCGTTTATTGTAGACATCTCTTGAGACAAACATTTATGGTCTAATGTAATGTTTTCATATAAGACTTTGTTTTATTATTTATGTACGTCTATCAACTGTAAGGTCCCAAGTGTGACTGCTGAGGAAGGGGTCTTTGGTATTTCGATTTTAGTTTTTCTTAGTAGTACTTAATAATATTGTTCTGTATTGTGCCACATGATATATGGGAACATACTCGGCTTTTATTACTGCCATAACATATCACAATACATATGTATGTGATGGCCTGATACAGTTTTTACCGATTCGATCTCTTTAATATTAACTTAGGTTGATAACTAACTTGGCCGGCGCGTTAGTGGCATTTAGATGGTGATTGAAAATTACTTTTGCTTTTAGCAACGTTTTGAATTCTGCTGGATTATGGGTCTTCTAATCAGAGTGTTGGAGATCGATTTCTTAATGCGTTTTAAGGGATTAAGGGAGGATAAAACAGGTTATACCTTTGGTAACGTCACTCACACGGCGAAATACAACACTGTGGTTGTTACACGCCAGTTTTCTGTGAGCATGGCTCTCCCACACTTGTGTTTAATACTCACTTGTAAATAGGCGAAGTGATTCTCTCAGCAATATTGCTGGCAATCTGATGATAGACATCTATCGGTGGGTTTGTCCCCATAGTGGTCGGGTGGGTGGTGTACACCGACACCACATTCTCGTTGACTGGCAGGCTGATGCATTGTTGGGTCAACTGCAACAATAAACGAACAATAGCTTACCATACTTGGATTCTTACTTTGCATAACGACCTTGTGAGTCATTGTTTTAATAAAATAACAGAATAACAGGAATAGCTATTCTTCCATAAGACAAAAATCTTTTTAATAAAGTAATATGAGTAGTGAAGTTTTCATTTCAGGAGAAATTAGATTGGTTCCAATCTTTAAGTCTGCAGAATTGAAGACAGTTCTTAAAGTATGAAATTTCGTTGGAGTTTGTTATCATGATAAGTAATAAAAATCAGCTAGGGTTATACGGGGTGGGTTTTAGTCAATAAAAGTCTGACACTCTCTCACTCTAACTAGGGTGGGAGTAGACATTCCACAAAAAAAATATTATATCGCCCAACACAAAAAGTGTACAATAATTAAGCGCACCATCTATTCTGTTGTGTTTATGTTTAAAAACAAATATTAAATGTTAAAACAAAAATTGCCACATACTAGGATTTTCGCCTGTGCGTTTACAAACGTACAAATTCACATACACACAACACCCAGATTTGCGTGCAGGACCGAACCTCCGGCACGTTGCGCTGTAGCTAGTTGCCCAGCCACCGATCCAAACATCCAGTCAAATCATTGTACTTCTGACCGCCTAATCAGGATTCTAGCAATCACTAACTATTTAATATTATTGGGTTGTAGATGTGTGCGTACGTCAATGTGACCATGTCAGTACTTGGGTCATTGCAATCATTATCCTTGTATCCCTGAGGCACCATTGTGTTTCGCAGCACGTCACATTGCGTCAGTCATCATTATTCATATTATTTATTTGTTTGTATTATTGTTTTTGTTGTGGTCCTACTTTAATTAAGAGTTGAGTATGTTTAGGTAAAGAATTTGGTAATCTATTGCCCTTAAGTTCTTTGTTGGGTGGTGTGGGAGATTTGAAGAGATAAAATAAGAAAATGACAATATTTTTAGTACAAATAGTATTTCCATTAATTTAAGTAAGATTTCTTTTAATCTACTTAGTCTATACTAATATTATAAAGATGTAAAATTTGTAAGTTTATATGTAGGGGGTAATCTTTGGCACCGCTGGTTGGATTACCAAAATTCTTTCGCTGAGCTACAATGTTCCTGAGTGCTATTGGCTATAAAACATCATACTACAATCAAATAGAGCCAAGCAGCGGGTGAGTAGCTTGTAATTTATTAAAAGATTCATCGCTATTTTCTTGTACTCACATACCGTTCCAAGATAATGTCATGTTTAACTTATATGTTGCATAGTGTGAGCAGAATTTTCTGCTTCATTTGAAAACAATATTATACAACTAATACCACAATATTGTCATAACACATAATATTTACATAGACGCAGCTGCATTCCACCCACGCGACAAACCCTTTTTATGGTTAAAAGAAAAAGTGTTTTCTTATCAAATAGTTAAGGTCCACATCACTTTCACTTCCCCCGCTTGTAGAGCACATGTAAAGAGCTTTTAACCCTAAAATATTTACATAGTACATAGGTACTCGTGTTCGTTCGTGTACGTGTTGACACATCACTATTCAAAAAAGGTAAAACCTATCAATAGATGAATATTTAGAACTATAGTTTTAAGGGCAGAAGGACCACTAATGGTAGGAATATCATTTATACTTAGATCGATTTAGACAAAATCAAAGTCAAATCGTTTATTTCAAATAGACTTGAGACCACAACACCTAAAAAATATCATAAGGTTTAACTTTATGCGTGTCAGTCTGTTCCTCTGTCGATTCCTATGAAGAAGAACGAGCAAAAACTCCATGGTTAGTGTATTGGATAGTACCCTAGGGAATTCAATAGTGCAGAATCTAACAGTTCGTATTTTTTTTCATTGAGGGTTACCTTACCAGTATCATTATGGATAAAATTAGATGAATATTATTTTAAAAACGATTGAATAGTAAAAAAAAAGTAATTTTAGTCAGTTCATTAAAAAAACTTCAATGTATCTTTTTTTATCTCATTCGTACTTAACTGGTCCTTCTGTTACATCACCACAGAGCCATAAGTTGATAACGTCGCCATCTCACGTGCGAACTATAAAACAGCAAAATAGTTGGTGCCAAAGGTGAATGTTAAACACCTTTATAGTTTCTTAGTTTCCTTTTGAACTAACATTTTGGTTCCGATCTTTGAATACGTTATGTGCTATCATGTTCTTGAGTTATTTTATTTGAAGCTGTAAGTTGAGTATTGGATTCTGACTTTAGCGTCGTGAGAGTAAGTTTTTTCCATTTGAAGGTTTGTGTCTTTTGAACACATACATTTCTCACAGCCACTTTTTTGAAGGTAGGATCATATCGTCGTCCACCCTTAATGGGATATGTGGGAGTGTCAGACTCTTACTGACTAAAAACCACCCGATTCCTTTTCCTCCTCCAGGATGAGGCCATGGTATATTTTACCGCAACATAAGAACACTAACAATAGACAGTGGTTTTTGATACACAAGTACATTTATACTGCGGTCTTTGACCCACTTGCCAACTTAGGAGATTATCGCAAAGTCCTTTCATGTAGCATACGCATATTTTATCGATATGAATTTGTTCCAATGTCTGTTTAACTCTTACTGATATTTTTTCTTCCAAGGTTTATTTTACGCCTTAGATAATTTACATCATAAGAAGGAATGAGGATAATTAAATTTTACGATTTATAAATATAATCCAATGCCACATGTTAACGGCTGGACTTCAATAATATTAACTACAGATAACAAAGATAAACTTCTTCTCAAACTAATTTTTTAATGTCAAATAATATATAAATTATTACGAAATGTGACGTCATAATTTGTGTCAAATGTAGGTCATAATAATTGCTCTTAAATTACCTAAAAATAGAAATGCTAAGCTGAATATTTTTCAAAATAATCAATCATTTTTTTCCTAACAACAACAACAAAAATCCTTTTTTACATTACTCTATTAGATGTAGTAAAAACAAAATTAATTTTTTTTGTACTGTGTCATCAAAGAAACCACGGTTCTTCCAGGATTCCGCTTATTAAACTAGGTACTTCCAAATTAAAACGGAACTCCAATCACGACCAGACTTGACCCCTCCCATCAATTTTCCGGCCGCATCACATTACCTAACGTGATCTAACCGATGCATCCTTGTAATCAATGCCAGTCCATTGCATTCGCCTCACGTCTACACAATGCCACATTTTGTTAGGACCACTTGGTCCTTTTGTACACGATGTGGTCCTTCGGGATTTTCTTGTGTATTTCCTCATATTCGTTTTGGTTTAGGTACCTATATTAAAGTTAATATAGGTTTGCTATAAATAAAAAATCTATAACAAAGTAAGGATCTTTAATCTTTAATATTATATTAATATTATCAATAACAACCTTGTATCATATTTTTCCCTTCATCTACACTACTTGACCAAATTAATTTAATAAAACACTACACCAAAGGGTCCTTATTTTGTGTCATTTTTTATCATAATGAAATGTATGGTCTAAAAAAAGTATCTGCACTTAGTAAAACTTAGGAAAATTCCCTAACAGGGGTGGTTAGGGAATATAGGGTGGCAATGCACTTATAACTTTTGTGATCTTTGTGATCAATCCAATCGTTTCCCGTAATAAAAAGCATAGCTAACTAAAAATATCATTCTTAAATATGACTGATGACGTACAAGCCCTTTAAAGCAACAAAATGGCTGCCCATCAGGTCAACATTCATTGTTTTATTGAGACCTAAGTACGCGATAAAATTAAACAAATTATATTTAATTAATTTCATTGACGCATGACGTTTGATATGTATATTGTCATGACGTTTTTGTGTCATCACATATTTGGTGGATGGTCGTTAGAATGTGCGTGGAGTCATTATTATTGTCCTATCAGACTGTAAGTGACTTCAGGTGAGTTGGAACTGTTATTTATTAAATTAATAATTGTTACAGATGTTGCTATGGTTACTATGGTAACGACAAAATGCTTTATAAATGACGACGTGGCTTACTTTAAACTTTAACCTCTCAATAATCAAGTCTCAAAAAACCAAGTCTCTATTCTACTATTCGAGATACAATAGGTGCTCGAACGCCAGCGTTCGCTCAGGGCTTGATGAACTAATAATTGTTATCTATAGCTGTCATTTTTGTAATTGTATTGCAATGTTTTTGTAGCCTCTCATAGGTATGTTTTTTCATTATCAAAGACAGTCGTTTCGTTTTATGAACTTCGAATTTATTTAAAGTTACATCGCAAAATTTAATTCTTGTCCAGCATAACAGGTTTGCGAGTGCAAATGTAACAATGTAGCGTGATCCCGGCCTAGAGCAGGAGAAGAAACGGGGAGATTTGTGTCAGTAGGAGTCTGAAACTCGAGAGAAGTGGGGTCTCGCCTCACCCAGGGCGGTAGAAATAATTTGATGTTTTTTTTCTCAAAGGAAACAAACTAATCTAATTATTGATATCTATAAGTTGATGATTATTACGATAATGAAACTACGATATTATTATAATAGCAACTTATTGTATATTATCTATGCGAAACCTATGTCTTAATTTAAATCTCTCAATCGATTTTTGAGTTAATCAAAAAGGCAACCAAAACATCGTATTTTCAATGACGTTATTAGTTAATTTAATAAACTGTTCAAAAGATTATGGGCAAAAGCGAACCAATAAATTATGATAAACCTTTTAGATATCAATAGGTACTATAATTAAAATCGCATTAGCGTAATTTTTGAGTTAAAAAGTTTCTGTGTTCCCAATAAAATTTGAAATCGAGAGTACCGTTTCGCGAACGAGTTTTCGCTCAAGATTGAATATGGTCTTTTGGTACATAATTGAGACTTTTTTTTGGGAAAGTAATTTACTTTTTTTACTTTTACCCTTTGAGCTTACGGTGTTATCACATGACGAAGTTATTTGGTACACTGGTAAGAAAGTGAGTTCAACCTTTCAACCGTAGTAAAGTTATGAAGAGCCGTTG